AAGTAGCCTACTGCTAGTTTCGAAGTGAGGAGCTACTATGGAAATAGACCAAACTCTTTCTTTCTCTCGTTATTTAAACGCTGTCATCAGAAAGGTCAGAGAGGGGGAGTCTCGTTCAGTTCCACTTGACTAACGGGCTGATTGATGAAATAAGAGGCAAAAACAGAAGCTAATGAAGAGAAACACAATACCGTCGCTGTCCGAGCACAGACTGATGGATTGGTGTCGGCTTGACGGAGCAAATGATGGGTCTCCGCCACGAGACAAATCACATATCATCAATTACTAGCCTAATGGTGTAGGAGACTTAAGAACACACTATGTTTTATGGTTGCGTTTCAACTTTTCCTTTTGTTGGGCGGAACGTCTGTTGAGAACTAACCGCACGGTCACCATAGAAACTCGGCAACGCGAGAGAACGACCGTATAATTTCGCTATTTCAATATAAACTGACTTATACTGTAACTGTGAATTTTTAGTGTCATAACACGTCGCTTAAAACAACATATAACGCTGATAATTAAAATAAATGAGCATAACACCACGGTTCGCAGCCTCTAAAAATAGTACCGAGTAAAGTGAGCAAATGACCAAACCCTGGTTGGCACCACCGCAGATTAGCAGTATATCCTTCTCTTTTAATAATGCGCTCTGGGGCCATATAACTACACGCTTCGCCGTTTCATTAAAACGGGTCTCTTTTTAATTAACACTCCGCGCACAACTCCCCATTGTGCACAATTCTCCGCTTCAGTGACAGCATACATCAAGGCGGTGGCTCAAAACATAGTGTGCTGCCTACCTAGACTGCATTTTACCTAGACCCCAACTGAGCCCAGCTGTCTAGGTTGGCAGCTCACTATGATTTGAGAAACAGCCTGCAAATTAAGTTGCAGCCAAGACGTAGCAATGTAAAGTTTGGTTAAACAAGATTGGGGAAATAACAGAAATGATATTCATAAAACTCTAAATAAAACTTGAATTTTTGGTCCACAGTTCAAGTGTGGAACTTGCAACCCCAATGTATTGTCACCAATGGTCTCTACGATCTACTTGCGCGCGTTTTTGAGAAACGCAACGCTGGTAAATGTGGAGTAAACGGCCTTAGATAAAAGCTGCTAAATGACAAATAACTACAAAGGTGCGATAAAATGCAACAAAATTACAGTAATAGGAGTAGACGCTGTGAGGTGCGTGTTTGAACACGCACAGACTTAAGTGGAAACTGTTAAAACAGAAAGCCGTCGATGACACTCCAACCATATTGAAACTTATCTTTACCAATTCACAATCTTTGCTAATGTAATCTTTACTAGATATTTTTACTCACCGTTATTTGTACGGAGTCTGGAAAGATGCCAAAAGGTGGTGGGATCACTCTCAATGTTATTGTGCGGTGATAAACAGTGAGAGACTGTGGCTGTTTTTGTATATGTATTTTGTTTTCGTCCACCAAAAAAATCGTTGAAGAAAATGCGCTTTTGATAATCCGAGTGTCGCGTGTTCCAGCAAACTTCAAAACCGTCCCTCTCTATAGAAGCGCTCCGCTGCAACCGTCAAATTCATGTTAATGTTGAGCTTTGCACATGATCTTTCTGTCGCTTTCTTAAAACTAGAATTTATAACTCGCTTTCTTATGACTTAGTGTCTAAAACCTCCTAAAAGCTGCGAAACCTTGTTTCTGGCATCAGTTTACGCTGAAATTACATGAACAGGGAGAAATTTTTAAAGTCACTCCTCTGATGACGTGCCATAGGTGCAACCCCAACAGCCAATGAGCGGAGAGGGGCGTGGCATTTGACAGGATGATGGATGGCTGTTTGGGCAACTTTAACCTATTTGAAACTAATTTAAATTGCCCATAATCACCACGGCTGAGTTATGCTGAAAGGATTTAAAAGCCGTCTTTATCCACAGCATTTAAGCCTGCTGACGACTGGCGCGGCCACGTTTAGGTGTTAATTATTCACCTACGCGCTTACACAAACGGACAGTTTTCTATAGCATCAATCTATAAATAAACCGACAATAGATGCAAAAACAGACAGTCCAAATAACAGATGTGCTCACGCGAGAGGAAAACAGGCAGCTGTTAAAAATTGAACACTACCACGTGTCTCAACATATATTTGCTGCGTCTCTTTTGCACGATCGAAGCTGCGAACATCTGGCCAAGATGGAAAGCCAATTACCTCTGGCGCCGTTAAATAAATCTTTATTTAACCAATGCAATACTGTCCAATTTGCCTTGATTTACCATTACAGGCTTAAATGAACTAGCCTTGGCCTCTCACTTACAGGCAGTGCTACCACAAAGAAATGTTGTGGCTTATGATCTCAACTAAACACACCTGCGAGGCCAAATCAATACTTAAATGTTAATGGTAATAGCATAATTTGACAACTGTAACACAGTCTTATAAATGTTATTTTTGTTCAGTTCTATGTTCATAGTTTAAGTTGAAGCAACCTGGCCTATATGATGCAAAGGCATTATATAATACTTGAAGTACTACATTTTTATTTTCATGTAGGAAGGACAATATCACATTTAGCAGATCTGAAAAATAAATACATAAAATTCTAATTGTATAAAACAATACTTGTAAGACTCCCTGTCTAAAACTAACAAGGAATCAAATTTCAGTAAGCTATAAAACTATTACTCAGACAAGAAAGTTTAAAAGTATGCATCAGGGTCCTAGTGTAAGGTTCACAAACATTAATTTTTATCATAAATGGGGCAGAGCCGACAGAACTTTGTCAAGATTTTCACACAGGAGATGTACATATGCTAGGCCCCTGTATATACAGACACTGGGGCCTATAGCATTTAAAAGTGCTGGCAATGGTGTTATTATTCCTGCTCAGGAATTAAGGGACTAGTGACATCTAGTGGAGGATTCTATGATCTATTTTGTTTGTACTTGAGGCTAGAACTAGAGGCATACATAAATAAATACAAAAATAAAATGTCTAAGTTTGGACATTTTTTTATCTCTACTTTAGAGTGAGAATATACTTGGGATTATTCTGTCTACTTTTGAATTTGCTCATTGTCATTTTCCTGTTAGTATCATGAGAACACGTGAATATTTACGGGGTCAAAGATGGGTCAAAGAAGGATCTACCAGTTCTATTCTGATGTAAGGCAATGTCATTTGTTTAAAAAAAGGGGGAATAGTGTGATTCTATTCAAATCCAGACTCTGCATACAAAGACTTCAAAGCAAGCAGCTCTTAGACACACACACTCTGCCTTGGGGATCACCTGAGCAGACTGGTCTTTGACGAGACACTGTGGAGTCCCCTGCCACTCTTACAAAGGTAAATGTATCCACCCCTCCTTTCCCCCAACCCCCTGGTACCAATCTCCCTGGTGGCCCCATTGTTTCATAGAAACTCTACCCTTTGCATGAGATAGAGAAAGGAAGTAGAAGGAGAGAAGACCATGAGAGATGAACAGGGCACATCAGTATGGGTGAGAAAATATCTAAGCCAGGGAGGGAAAGAGATAAAGAGGCTGACAGAGAGACGGGGGGGAAACTGAATACTTGAAAATCAGAGGACACGAGTAGATCAGTTTTCATTGTGGAAATTGCTTTGATGCTTCTTACTAAACATCTCAATCTCAAAAATATAATGGATAACCTCTCTCTCTCTCTCTCTCTTTCTCTCTCATGAACGCTACAAACAAAAATGAGGTGTTTTTGACATCTCAAAAGGGATTTTATGTTTTAATGTCGAAATTAGACAATAAGGGTAAATTGTTATGTAGTGGTCAGCTAGAAATTATCTACATCTGTCATTGGTATTGTTAGTTGTTAGTCAATCCAAAACATTTTTTCCTTTATGGTAGTCTTGCTCAGTTATATGCCCAGCCATAATTATTCCTAAATTCCACTGGAATGGTGAAGAATAATGTTAGGCTATAAAAACATAATTTTGCATTCAGATTGAATTTTTATCGTTTATTACAAATGTTTACAATAAAATGGAGCTAAGTGGGGATTAACTCATCCCGGTTTTATGTAATGCAGTGACAGAATATGATAATAATTAACAGAGTTTCCACTCTAAAGTTCTTTATTGTCATTTTAGCCAATAGAGGGCGCTAATATTCACATTTAAACGGAAGCTATTGAATAGATGAATAGCCTCTCAAAATGAATTCATATCTTCCCTATTTGAATTAACGTTTTTATGCGTATTCAAATAAAGCGGTCACGTACAGAACCTTAAATACAGAAACGTTTTAAAAGAAGCACTTAAGACTATAAAACTACACAGAACATACCAATGGAAGACTGTGACTGTCACAGTGACTGTGTGTATTTAATAGATTCTGTCATAAGCGGTGGTTGTGTTACCCGACATACAGACAAAACGTGCTGACTAATCAAAGAGTGACAAATGTTCACAGCGTGTGTGGCTCAAATGTTCTGTGAGAGTATCTGTGGGATTGTACAGCCATCATCACATATTTACACCTGCCATCCTGCACATTGTCAACACTTTCAGACATTTCCTGTTCCCCTGTCATGTCAGTGCTGAAAGTCTCAGATGTCTGAGAAAGTGAGAGACAGAGATAAAGCAGAGAGAAATATAACAGTGGCAACACCAAAGTCTTTTCGAAAAATGGACCTGGCCATGTTGTGTGTTCTAATGGAGGTATCAGTGAATGTGTTTTGTAACTCAGAAGACACATCTTTTTTATGATTAATGACAATTCTATTCTATTCTAGTCCGTTCTGTTCACTTATTTGTCAATATCATACACAAAGAACACAAAGACAAACGTAAATTATAATAAATTTTATTTACAAAATGAAACTATTGTATTATACATATGCATGTATTTGCTCCATATTTGTTATTTGCCATTCACCTCAAAAAACTGAGGTTTGAATATGACACTTCACAAGAATTGAAGTCTGTTAAATATCATAAAATAGCAATAAACAAAACATCATATATGTACAGTGGGATTAATATATATTTACACTATATACAGTAAATCAATTTTTAAGAATACAACAAAAGGGCCTGAATATTGAATTATTAGTATGTGTGTGTGCACGCTACATTATGGTATGGATTATACTATGGTATGTTTTTCCTCAAACAACTGCTTTACAGTCATAGTTTTTCCCCTGTGTCACTACAGCATACCTGATAAAACAGCAATGACAAACCTGTTTCTAAGCTTTATACATTTTGTTGAATCCTGGGCTAAAACATTTCCACAGAAAATTTGGTACAGTAGGTAGAAAAGTGAGAAAATGCTTTTGAATGTGCTCTTGAGCTAACGTCAGTGTGTGTATGTGTGTATATCATTTGGCAGATTGAAGAACTCCGCTTGTGATGGCAGGCCCTGTCTGCTGTTTCTTTGACTGCAGCTGCAGCGCTGTATCCACATGACATTGCGGGTAAGGTCGTCTCGTTCTGGCTCAGGACAGTGAAAGTGTAGAGGGATTGTACGTGTCACAGAGGGAACACAGAAGCGACCATCTGAGCAGGATCCACATGAACGAGGCCGGTAGCGGCGAGCAGTGAAGCATCCTGCAAATACGATCTGCACAGATTTTGGTGAACGTGTGGTTCTCTGACACTTCTTTCCTTTCTGAGTGAAGGAATGGAGTGAAGGAGAAAGAGAGAGGGAAATCTACTTCAATAATAGAACAGAAGCCGTTGATCAACCATCAAAATAAAAATATAAAAATTATGAATATTATTAAAATTATAAAAATCTAAACAGATGATATGTAAACATTTATTTGTTTTGATCATTTTATATTGTTAAAAAATTATACTGTTTAAATTTTATATTTAATTTCTTTATGGTATTCACAGATAGTATATCACATTTACAAGTTTACAAAGACACAAATATTACATCTGTGTTATTTTAGTGTATTTGTGTTATTATAGTATTTATTAATCATTTGAATTAGCTTTTAATTTTATATTTGCAGTTTTAATTTTATTTTAAGTTTTAATAAATGTGTTATATGTAGTTGTCATTTTATTTCAGTTTTAGTCATTTTAGTACTTCAGCTTAAACATTTAATTCAGTTTTTCATCTAATATATATTTTTCAGATTTATTTAGCTAAAAGAAATTGTAATAGTTTTAGTTATAATAATAAATTAAATTTATATATATTGTAATTTTATATTGCTTAAATATTATATTTAAATATTAAATTTTATAATGCTTAAATATTATAGCTATTACAAAGCTGAAAATATTTAGAAAATTACTACTACTAAATATTTTTTATTATTTTATAATGTTACATTTAAAAAAAAATTCTAAAAAATACAAAATTATATCTGACTAAAGACCCCACTTACCTTCAGTGATAATGCAGGGTTGACGCCACATTCTCGTATCTGACAGAGCCTAGTTTCCCTGACGAGCCGACACTCAGGATTACTATTGGTTAAACGGCTGGACACGCCCATTCCGCAGGTGGCTGAGCACGGGGACCAATCAGTGACCTGCAGTAAGCAGGAGGGTGAAAGGATGGGGTGGGACTTAGAGGATGAAATCCACTCTAAGAAAAAAAAAAGTATGGTGAATAAGCTTGTAATTCCTAAACTATGAGGAACATATCAAATCCATATAAATATAGTCAGTGTTAATAACCATGATTCATTTTTTTCTGTGCGCAAAAGTCAGAAAACACTGCTGTACACCATACTTTTTAATAGAAATGTATTGTTTATGTCATTTGTTTCTTTATCAGTTTTTTTCTATACATTATATTTTAATGCCAGTGTTATTCATCTACCTTGATAAGGGGCTGTTGCACTGCTGTCCCAAGAAGTAGATACGAGTAACTCGTTGCCTGTTAGGTCTGTGTGCTCTTGTGGATGTGCATCAGGCAACAGCTCCACTTCAGCAATGCGGTTGTCATCATCGCACACCCACTCCTGGCAGCAGCGGCCGGGCAGTTTGGTGAGGCGGCGGCGGGAACAGCGCCAGTCGGGTAGAGAGATGTGGTGTGGGCACAGTGGGATGCAGCCGACTACTCCATCAACACACGTGCACTGATGCTCACAAGTTGGCTGAAAGTCCTCGCCGTGCTGATAGACCTGTCCATCCAGCTCGCATGGGCGACCCTGAGCCTCAGCTAGGCCGAATTAAAAGTAATATTGCTTGATTAGCATGAGTGCCATGTATAATACATATTAGACCAGATTAAACAGGCTAAGTCCAGTAAATCACATTAGACCTTTTTAAAAATGTTTTTATCTAACATTTATATCTTATTTCAGTGAGCTAAAATGATTTTTAATTGTTTAGTTTTAACAAAAACAGCACTGTCTAATATGTGACCCTGGACCACAAAACCAGTCATACGGGGTCAGTTGTTTGAAATTGAGATAATCTGAATAAATAAGCTTTCCATTGATGTATGGTTTGTTAGGATAGGACAATATTTGTCCGAGATACAACTACTCAAACTATACAACTAATCAAAAATGAAGTGTTGATCTATTTACTGTAGGAAATTTACAAAATATCTTCATGGAACATGATCTTTACTTAATATCCTAATGATTCATGGCATAAAAGAAAAATCGATAATTTTGACCCATACAATGTACTTTTGGCTTTTGGCTTCCCCGTGCTACTTATGACTGGTTTTGTGGTCCAGGGTCAGTCACAATGTCTTTATTCCTCTTACCTCTACACAAGCCTCTGTTAGGGTCTCCACCGGCCTTTAGGTGGCAGCGCAGTCCTTTGATATGGTCGCAGGGCTCGGCAGGGCTGCAGTCTTGGTTAAACTGCCTGGCACAGACCCGACAGCACCCACATGAGTCCAGAACCGAACTGATACCAGGAGGACACGAGGAGGGCGAGGAAGGACAAGAGCATTTCAGTGGACAGCCTCTCTGCGCCTGAGAAAGCACAGAAGGAAGCGAGTAAGTACTGGTGTTGAAATACACTAGCCTATATGAGACATTTTTCTTTCTTCCATCCCATAAATCAAGAGATAATAAGTTGCTTTCACTTAAAAATGTTTAAAAAAAAAGTTTTTAAAACGCCATCGTTTTGCAATAAAGCAGATGATTTATTGCAGTTACCTCCTTAGCCACTATAAAGTCATTATAAATTCATTCTGCCTCTATATTGGACCACATTCAAGAATAGTAGCTACTGGCTCTGTAAGCCAAAACCTGACAAATAAGGCGGAAAAAGTGGATTCAATGCCCCATCACTCCCTGTACTAAAATGCTGTAATAGATGCTTAATATAAAGGTTTTATCTGCAACCGAAAACTGACATTGTGATTAGGACATTTTTATGTAGAAAAAAGTATAATTGTACACTCCCTTAAACACTGTTTGTTTATTAGGGTAATAAACAAACAGTGCTTAAGGGAGTGTGCAGTTATATTTTTTCTTTATTTCGTCTACTCCTTTAACTTGCACCTCAAAAGGTGTGCGTTTGTTTTACTACTTTATCATACCTGTGCATATTATAACAGTATGACCTTATTCAAATTATTGATCAATAAAAGTCTCAAATCATAGTTTACAGAAGAGCAGTAAAACTTTTTAATGTTCCCTAAATGGTTATGGTAGTTTGCTACATTTATTTTCAATTATATTAGAGTCTACCTGAATGTACATTCAAGTTCAAACCATCAAACAGAGCACAAAAACTCACCTCCACAGCGGCCCATGACAGCAGCACCAGTGTGATGAAATGTCCTTGCCCTAGTATGCTCCTCAGATTGGACATAGTTAGTTTCATTCAAAATGTTTCAGTTGGTGCTCTGTTTGGATGAGTTACAAAGTAGTGTTTCAGATGTTCAAAAAGTGCCTTCTGATTTACAGCCCCTCTGCGTCTGTCAGTTCAAAAAGAATTTGACTGGTTGGCAATCCACACTCGCCCCTTTCTCTTGAAGCCTGTTTGGGAATTGGTAAATGCATAAAACTGTAAAGCTCTGCTCTCACTAGATTCCCTTAGAAACTGCCACTTTTATAGACAGCTGTGCACAGCCCCCTCTGACATCACACTCACACACACACACAGATTTGACAGGTCACTTTAGACATAGAAAGAAAAAGATATAAAGTTTATTTTCATTTCTCCTTTTTCCTTGTCTCTTTTATTATGAATTAATGGTAAGAACAAACATCTTTAGATATATACTTCTAATAATATCTTCTTTTACCTTCTCTAACTATCACATTAGATAAGACAGCAAATGAAAACTAGAGCTGCAGAGAAACTGCTAGAAATATTGAAAGGTGTTTGTGTCTGATTTCAGGAACTAGTCTGGGTTCTTGTGAAATACAGGAGAGGTAGTCTAGCACATTTTGGTCAGAGGAGAGTCCAGTGACACACACACACACACACACTGAGCAATCCCTCTCACCTCCCCTGCAGACAGCACAGTTCGTGAGACGGCACTCGCTCTCACCACAGCAGCGGCGAGACATCACACACACATGGCACATAGCTGCGAGCCCGTTCAGTGACGTTCTGCATCCACTCACAAAATCTGAGTGAGAGAGAAGGAAAGAAAGAGAGGAAAATCATATGTATGAATGAGTAGGTGGTGTGGAAATGTCACTGTGTGGAGCTTTTCATTCATTCCTTTGACAAACGTGTCAGAAAAGCAACTGGAATGGCATTCCCCTGATGAAGCACTGATGTGACATCTACAGGGTCAGGGCTGAAGTCTGATGGAGATGAGTCACAGCATATGCAGCAAATGGCTGTAATGACTGATAACAGAGTCATACGGCAGGAATTTGAACAAGTTCAAGGAGACACTAAACAGGTGGATCTTAGTTAGGACACACACTGTAAGGATGTATTTGTGGCACCATGACACAAATGCTTAAAATTCATGTGCAATTCATAATGAGACCATCAATGGTTAGAAACTGTTTAAGGAAGTTAGTGATTTCTGTGAGGATTTGAAATTTCCTATAATAGCAATAGTTCTGCGGTATTAGTGTGTGTGCATTAAAATCCAGGTCACTGCTCTTCTCTTAAAGAGTTAATTCATAAACTAACTCTTGGCATCATTTACACACCTTTATGATACACAAAAGAAGATATTCTCAAATAGTGTTTTTTTTTTTGTCCATACAATGAAAGTCAGTTGTGGATCTCATTGGATTTTATTGTATGGACATGATCAGTTTAAAGCTTCTTCAGAATATCTTCTTTTGCGTTCAACAGAAGAAAAGAAAAAGTCAGATAAGTTTGGAATAGCATGAGGATGAGTCAAAAATTTTTCACTGTGATTAGTTTATTTAACTAGACTTTAATCTTTAATCTGTGCATGCATCCATCACAAAAGTATTCTTTTTCTGAACGTCATGCACATTTCCACCACAGTGTCATCTGTGTTGTGTTTAATAATTTTTCTCTGTGCCTTATTTTTTGGTCCAACGCAAGTCATAAAGCGCTGGTCACACTTTATTTTAAGGTCCAATTCTTGCTATTAACAAACCATTAACTACACATTTTGCCACAATAACCTATTAATTTGCTGCTTATTAATAGGTTAATAAAAGTTAGTATGGTAGTTGTTATAAGTTTAGCTATTGGATAGGATTAGGGATGTAGAATATGGTCATGCACATTATGTGCTTTATAAGTACTAATAAACAGCCAATGTGTTAATAATAGGCATGCTAAGCAACTAGTTAATAGTGAGAATTGGTCCCTATACTAGAGTGTTACCAAAGCGCTTTACCAAGAGAATAAATAATATTCACATACTACCATAAAATTATCATCTTATAGAGTCAAAATAATAGTATATCATGCAATTTACTGTTTTTAAATTGTCAGCACAATACTTCTGACCAACAAATGAGACCACAATGACAAGACAAAACAATTAGGAACTAGAAATGTACACATCAAATCTTGGGTGTCCCATATTACTCAATATCTTAGGTTACCTTAATTGACCCTTGTTCCTACACATACTTCTAATTTTAAGTATGAGTTTGAGTATTTGTCAGACAAAACAGATGGCCATCCTGAATGCTAAAAGAAGGAAAAATAAAGATAAAAACATATACATAGGTTTGTTGATGTCTGGAACATCTACAGTGCATTGCTATGAAAACAGTCAAGTGAGGGATCAGCAGCTTTGCACATTAGCAAGAGAAGCCTGTCAAAACTGCACAGTGGGAAATCATTCGTCTGTCTGCCTGGGGACAGAATAATAAAAGTCTTGCCTAAAAATAGAAGTAAAAAAGCAATAGAGATTGAACCAACTAATAAACTAATACCATGGCAACACTTAGACTTGTCACACAGAGTCTGCAAAGCAATGGAAACTACATCTGCTGAAACTAAAACAATCCCAAAATAGTATGAATCAAAATCACTGAAAAAAATTAATCTAAAGACAAGCATTTATACTTGAGGAATACTGACCTAATTCCTTACATTAAAACCTGTCTTTTTAATATGGAAAAAGAACTAAGATCTCAAGAAATGTCCAGGTCACATTTCACCCAAAACCAAAAGGAAAACATACTGTACTCATATTTTGCATGAAGCAAACAATCTACAGATAATAACCTTAGATTGTTTTTGCATTGTGCTGTTGCAAATTACATTTTATTCAATTTATTCTATTTTTTACTCAATTCTCATTTTTCTAATGCATTATTTCTTTCTGATGATTCTTATCATAAAGTCATAAACATGACTGTAAAAATACTGTAAATAATTGTTTTGCAATTTTTATTAATTAAACTCAATTAATTCTTAAACAAAGACACATCAAATATTACCATAATATAAAAATACAATAAAATGTATATATATTAATCAATAATTAAGAGAATTTGGAAGGGGGTAAATTAGTTAAACTGTTCTAAATATTTACAACACAAACAATCAAAGTGTTCTAATAGTAGACTTTTTCTTTTAAATATATGTAAAATGTGACCTTGAGACCCTTTCGTGAGACTGTTGTTGAACATCCTGACGCTTAGATCAAACATGAAATTTCCACTCAGTAAATGACTAAGAGTTGCAGCTGGTAAGTGTGTGAGAGGGAAACTGCTGGGAACTGATTTGTGTCCCTGGAGCTGTTTAGCTTTGCTGTTTAATGCAACAACATCTTTAAATGTTCCTGGAAATAATCCCCTAAACACACCAGAGATGGAAAAAATTAAGCCACATGTGCCAATATTAACTCCTCAAATATGTATCTTTCTCCTCTCTACATCTGTTTTTCAGCACAAACTCACCTTGTATCAACAACACCTCTTTTATGATATTGTTCAGAGGGCAGCTGAAATATGCCACTTTCAGGCCAACATAATCAAACAGACGGTTCAAAAACTGAAAGGGTTCAAAATACTGGTATGAAATAGGTGAAACACTTCTAGCAGATACCAAGGATACCTTAGGTTTATTCATGGAACTGTTTGCAGGATTTGACGATTCGCTTAAGAATGC